ACATGGAATTGGCAAGTCAAATTTTGGGTTTGTTCGTCAGACATGTTGGTGCACATTATATCCGAGTTTCAAGAAAATCTGAGACGGTACCCAGCCATCCCATTTGTTGAGTTGGCACGGAATGACCCACTTTTATTTGGCCCCCTGCTTTGTTTCTATTCGTACACTTGCATTTAATGCATACACAGCTGGCAACAGTAGAATAAAGTATTTTTAAAAAAGACAATGATGATCTTTTCTAATGAATAAAGCTTGAATGATACAAGATTTCTATTTTTTGTTGAAATAAATTTTTCTTTCCTTGGCAAAATACAAAAAATTGATAAACCATTTTTATACATTAAAAAAATTATTCTGAGTTTATTTACTGAGTATTTAAAAAAAAAAAATGAAATTTTTCCTGATAATCCTAGGCTAGTGAAAATACAGTTAAACTTGCCAAGTCGCCCTTCTTTGGTTGGTATGCAAGTGAGCTCCCCGGGGTTAATAAGCCTAGCATTATGCCTGGGTACACACGATGATAAATATAAAATGATTATATTGCAGGTGATTCTGGTTGGTGCAATACTTTGTGTACGTTCAGGAACAATTGTTGACAACAAGTGTGTTGTAAGTGTTGATTAAACTATGTTTTCATTTGTTTGTTTTCTGTTAACTGGACACGGTGTGGACTATAGTATCTGTTGAATTCTGGTTCTATAACATTGCTGCACTGGATTACATCAAACGCTGCAATGCCTTCAGTAGCTGTCCCGTGTGCCATTGGGAGGGCTCCCCTGAATGAACTTACCCGATTGTGTCGGTGAGTAATCATAGGCATTGACCAGTCATCCCCTGAATTCAGTAAATGTCAGTTTGTCAAGGACTAATGAACACATAGGGGAGATTATTTGGATTTTGACTACATAAAACCAGCTTACTATGGGATTTATTTTTACATTAAATACATAATATTATAAATATATTATTTTAACAGTATTGTAACACTTACAACTAATCAGTAATTAATTTTAACTACCACAATAACCAACTCATTTAGCCATGATTTAAAAATTAACAAATCAACTGAATTTAGTACTTGTGATCCACTCTAGCAAAAACAAGCTCAAAACTCCAAAGGTGACATATTAGGTCTTTTTAATGTAGATATCAAAAACCAGTGGCGATCCCCCCCCCCCCCCCCTTTCTGAATCCACCGCTGAAAGGTACTGTAATTATTGATGAAAAAATTGTTAAAAACTGATGGCAAATGGCAAAGATATTTAATGAATTATATTTTCAGTCCAAAATGGATCAATACATGGGAATTTTAGCTGATTTAAGGACTTTTATTTTTGATGACAAGAACCTGGAGCCTGTCACAATTTAATCTAGCACCATTGTTTATTTTCAGGCTACCGGTGGTCTTGTGATGAATATCATCTCCATCTTCTTTGCCATTGACCAGATATTGTGGATGAGTGCTGCTGCTGCAAGGGAGGATGGCTACAATGAACATTGTAGATACTACTACTATGACTACAGCAATTATCGAAGCTATTATTCTCACGGCTATTATGTTTATGATTGTGTATGTAAATTCATTCATAGTCCAAATTTACTAATTTTCCAATCATTCCTAACTTCATATCATATATTTTAACAGTAAGGTATTTAAACTATCACAGTAGAAACAATTGTCAAGTCAAATAAATGTTATTTTCAAAATATTCTTTTATTCAAATGTATTTCACAAAGACACAAGTTTCTAATTACAACAACATTTAGTTTGATAATACCTGTATTTTGTGATAATTTGTAATACTGTATCGACAAGGATGGAACAACATTTGTGGCAAAGACAAGCCAAACCAGTCACTCGTCGCAAATCGTGTTTTAGAGAAAATGGCCAAGACATGCTGGAATGTCAAATTTTAAAAAATCTATTTTATTGCACTAAACTAACCTTTATATATCTATACATCATTCTATGCTGTTATTTTCCCCATTTTCAATGTTAAAACAACAATTTTTAAGGATTTAAAGATAGTTTCTGCATGAGAAATGCCTGAAATCATAAACTTTGAAGGCTGATTTCTCATATATTGTTCTTTAAATAGCTGTGTGATTAAACGCTTGTAACGCTGTAAGGAAATGTCCGATTTGGTTGATTTTTTTACCATTTTATAGCTATTATTTTACTCTCTAACACTGTATATAATAACTCGGAATTGATTTTTGCGACGAGTGACTGGTTTGGCTTGTCTTTGCCACATTTGTTAAGAAAGTATACAATGATAAGCTTGATGTATAGATACTGTGTTAAAGTTTAGTTTAGTGGAATAAAATAGTTTTTTTTTAATTTGACATTCCAACATGTTTTGGCTTTTTCTCTGAAACACGATTTGCGGCGAATGACTGGTTTGGATCGTCTTTGCCACGTATATTTTGTTTCAATTTTTTATTTATAAAATGTTTTAATTGTAGGCTGCAGAGAAGGCCATAGACATAGTGTTAATTGTTCTCGGTGTGATTGAGCTTGGATTGACAATTGCTGCTGTCTGTGTATTATCGGCGGATGTGTGCTGCCGAACTACTGGTACCCAAACAATGGGGGTAAGATTTTAAATATATGATTTTTAAAATTCATAAGTGAACACAATATATGATTAAAGAAGGAGTTTACCAATTTAAAATAATTTTAAAACTGATGTATTACTGTATAAACATTTACCTGATATCCCATTTCAGAAATTATAAATTATTTACACTTTTGTTGTATACACTCTCACCAAGATTTTCCAAATAATAATATATTATCACAATCAATTCACACTTGTATTTTGTATTTTTTGCATAAAGAAACATTTTGTCTGAGGCTATGTTCTCACACGGCAGCTAACGGTTAGCAGGATCCGGATCTTACTAACCATTAGCTGCCGTGCATCCATGCGAGAAAATCCCGATCCGGATACCAACAATATGATGATCGAATCACTGGCCAATAGAAACTGGAAATTGTAAACGCGTATGTGTGATTGGTTGATGATGGAAATGCCCTCAACTTGTTAACCGATAGCGCTTGCTAACCGTTAGCGGTATCCGGATACCGCTAATGATCGGGCGTTCTCTCGCCAGTGCTAACAGTTAGCTCCCGATCCTGATACTAGGGCTCTCGTGAGAACCAAGCTTGTAACTTTCAAATTAATTTCAAGTAGATTAATTAAACATGGTTGTTGTTTTTAATATATCCAGGTGATGTATCATGGAGGACAGCCTGTTATAGTGCAGGGTGGATACATTCAATCTGTTGGACCAGGTATGCAATCTATTTATATTAATACTCATTATACTATCCACATTTATAATGCAAGACAGTAATAACAGTAATATTGTGGTTCAATAATATAGAAGGTATTAAGAAGTGAGATACAATCTTCCTTGGGTGGTTGAGACTAGACACAGATGGTAATCACAAGACACCATATCTCTGTGTATCGTTTTATTCCTGTCTCTTATACACATCTAGATGTGTATAAGAGACAGCACTTACAACTNNACAAAATTGTGTTGGCCATGTTTTGGGAAAATAAAAAAAATGGGTCAGTAGGTAGGGAAAGTTTTTGTTTTTTTTTTTACAAAAAGGGATTTACGCCTAAAAAGTAGTAGTACACACAAATACAACAAAGACCACTTCTGAAATGATTTTCAGGTGTATTTTTATTTTGCAAAATACATTATCTTTTTCACTTTAAAATGGCTTTTGGCCTGTTTTTAATCTTGTCTCTAGGCCTGTTTGTAATCCTGTCTCTAGGCCTGTTTTTAATCTTGTCTCTATGCCTGTTGTTAATCTCGTCTCATTTGTAAAACGACTCTTGGCCTGTGGTGAATTGGCTCTTTTCTGCCTCTTCACATTCCTTAGAATTCGGCAACACAGCTTTTAAACGCTGGGTGGACTTCCACTTGATAGGCCTACTTTCAAATCGTCAGCAGGTAGGGGTTCTGGGGCTGCCTTCAATTTCAAATAATTATATTGTCCAAACTCGTGGACGTAGTGAACGATTTTATAACTTCACAGTCTTGGCAGACCAAGATAAATACATAGTACGCCATGATTCGTTTCACTTTCAGCGCGCTCCTTCAAACAAATCCAGTCTACTTCGAGCCTTTCTCAAAAACAGGAGACGACGCATGCGCAAAAATGATCTGCAGCAAAACTTGCAAACTTGTATTATTTACCGTACAGAAATGTGACACTGTAATGTATTACTATTAAAATATTAATTATGATATTTAGTTTATAAAAATAGATTTTTAAAGGGTTGAAACCTCCTAAAACGATACTATACAAAATGAATATGTACGCTGATCTTGTGATAAGACTACACGCTATCGTCCAAGGGGTCCTAGGTATAGGCATAGGTAGGTAGACCTCGTAAAAAAAATTACACTACAGACTATGTCGGGAATCGTCAAGCTAACAGCATATTAATCACTAAAAGAATTAAACAAAATTATGGCTATTAACAATCACTATCAGTTAGTGGAATGTAGAATACCGCCAATAATATTAACAATGTATTTAACAACACCGGCATCAGTCATACAGACATAAATTAACTACAGAGCCTATGACTTGTATCAATACACACATTACACTGTATATTTAATACAAAATTTAAGTCTAGTTTAGAATAGAATATACACATACAGCATCATGGACTTCTGAACTGCATATTGCCAATAACAGTAAAATATAATGTGTGCAGGGCTTGCAAAGAAACAAATGAAAACCCACTGCAAGAGCCTGCAAAAGTATATATACTGTACTGCGGTTGCAAACACCTGTGTATTTGCATGGATATGCAAATACAGAACACCTGTATCTGCATGCATGCAAATACAAATACAAGGAAGCAAACAAGAAGAGCTGTAGCGTTCTCAACATCACAAATCCAAATCACAACATCACAGTAATACAATTACAGTATAAATTATCTAATTTATGTGAATACAGTATCATATGAAATAATGCCTTTTAATTTAATTTCTTTCAGCCTATCCTCCGCAAACACACCTTATCGGTCAACCAGGCCAGATGTATGTTCATCAAACAGCTGGCGCAAATCCATCAGTTCAGATACAATACCCTGCTGGTCATCCTCAGCAATATCCTGTTGGTCAACCTCAGCAGTATTTTGCTGGTCAGCCTCAGTATCCTTCTGGTCAAACTCAGTACCCAGCTGGTCAAGCTTCTCAAGGAGTACCTCAGAACCCACCAACTTACACTGCTGAAGAGAAGTAAAAAGGTGGGTTCCAGTTCTTCCTCCTCCAGATTGTAGTGGAAAATTCAAGAAGGCTCCAACACGAGCTATTCAGCAAGTGGCATCTATTTCAAGAATCGAGGAGAAGTACATAAAACCTTCAATATCCTAACATAGCTAAATAAATAAAAGTTACAGTATTTAGATTTGAACAAGTTATTCAATTTGCTAATATTGATATTTTGTTTTTAATTACAGTAATAACCATACTGTAAAAGCTTGGATAAGCGCCGCACCAAACCTGTTTTTTTTTTTTTTGCTAAGCGCCACTCTCTAATAAGCGTTACGGCGCCTAATCGAGAGTATATTACCCTGTGTGTAATGAAACGCTTTCAGAAACAGTATTTTAAATACAATATATACAGTGTTGAAATGAAATAACACAATGAAGACAAGCATTTCTTTATAAAGGTTTATTTATGATGACGTAGGACCTAAAATAGGCATATCGAACTACGGGAATGTAAGTGAGATTGGTAACATGAGAACTGGTATGGAAAGCGCAACACCAATATTTTTTTATAAGAGCCGCTCTCATAGAAACGCAGCATTGAAGCCTCCAAAAATTTTTATAAGCGCCGCAGTACTTATTCAAGCATTTATGGTACTCATACAGTAACGTTGTAGTGTGTAAGCAGGAGCCTTCTTATCACAATTTATTATCGCACCCATAACATAGCTAATTGTGTATACTGTATTCCAAAATATATTATTGTTTTATATAATCAAGGACTTTTAACTGTACAGTCAACTTTTTACAGTACAATTAAAAGTATTCTATTTTATTTGTAAAGTAGAGTAGCTACATTCCATAGAGTTTAGCTTGTATTTGTCAATAGAAGATGTACACAGTATAACCTTGTATTGTGGTTAGCCGATTTACACAGTATACTGTTATATACAGTATCTTGGGGAGGCAATCTATACAGTGTACAGTATAACATACAATGTTGTGGTGAGGCAATGTACACAGTTTACAGTAGGTTGTGTTGCAGTGAAGTGTTGTACAGAATATTGTTGTGAATTATGTACACACTATACAGCAACGTTCCACAAACGTTAATGTCTGAATTTCCAAACAGTGTCATCAGTCTAAAAGTTTGCAGAACGCTAATGTACTGTACTGTATAATGTTGTGTAGCGATGGACAGAGTACACATATTGTTGGGGCTATGTACACATCATATACCATATAATGTTGTATTGTGAAGAGGTGGTTTACACAGTGTCCAGTTTAATGTTCTCTTCAAAGAGTCATATAAATTATAATGATTTGTTGCTGGGAAGAGAAGTATACAGTGTAAAACTTTTAATTGTTGAAAAGGTTGCATACAAACTGACATTATAGTATTAATTAAAGATTATGAATTAATGATTAAATATAATAATGTTTTTTTATGGTAATTAGATTTATATATAATATTGTTAGACTTACAAGGTATTGCTGTGGTATTCTTTATGTGATTTTCTCTACCCGGTCATTGATTGAATCAATTATTATACACAGTGCTTTACCTCATTCCCTGGAGAGTATTTACAGTAGCAGCACTACCCAAATTTCATTCCAAAAAAAAACATCCATACCAGGTATTGTATTCATTTGCAGTAGGCTTACTCCAGAGTGGAGGACAGATACTAGTGTCTTGTCTCATCAATGTTGCAATATTGTTTTAGAACTCAACTGTTATTTTTGAAGCTGTTCATAAGATTTTAACATGCTTTTATCTGTAAGTGATATACATGCCTGTAACCAGGGGAAGCTTTCCACTTAAATGGAATTTGGTAAATGTGTGAAGTAGTGCTATATTTTGTTTGTTTTTTTACATTTCATTGTGTTTTTTTTTTTTTTTTTTTTACAAAGTTGGCTCTATTTGGTACTCCTAGATCTAGTTTCCATTTTGTGTTATCATGGAATTTACAATCAAGTTTTCTCATAATTTTGCTAATTTTAATTTGAAGAGTAGAACTTACCTTAAAAAGGTATTAGTTTCTTGGTTTGTAAAATTCTCACTTAAATTGAGTTCCATTCAGATTTTAAATTGCACCCTAACCCCCCTTTGTTTTGCTGGTTTATGTGCCTATATACTTTAATTTTTCTAATAAAACTTTTATAAAAATTCTCACATCAACGTTGATGACTTTAGGAAGTGTAAACATGTATTTTTACCTATAACACAATTATTGCCTGTGTGTGTATATTAATGTTTTCTTATTCTTTTCAGGGAATTTTGTTTCTTTGGTTTTTATAATACGTCTTTGTATGTGGTACATCAATAATGTTTGTAATAGAGTAATATGTTATTTTTAAAATTCAATTTCTATGGTAAATTAATATGACAAAATATTATAACATGTAGCTTTAGTAGCAAATAAATATTATTTGAAGGATTTATGGTTATCAATGTATGTCTATTTACTGTATGGTTGACTATCTGAATTATCAATCTTAATGCCTGTACTGTACCAATAAAAATAAGTACAATGTGTCTGAGATTTCAGAGAGGGGATTAGGGATTGTGATCAGAACACCAACCGTCCACTAAGCTCCGCCCATCAGTGGCAGCTCTAGGATATAATTTATGGGGGGGGGAGGAGT